GATGTGTAGTGTGTCATGTGTGTTGTGTATGTGTTGACCCTTCTCTCACTTATCTATGAGAAGATAATTTAGGTACAGATAATGGCTATTGGCTTTTATTAGAGGTCTCAAAAATATATAAAGACTTCAGGCCTTCTTTGGACAGATTATTTCTGCAGTTTTTTTGTTTGTTTGTTTGTTTGTTTGTTTGAAGACAGGGTCTCACTCTGTCGCCCAGGCTGGAGTGCAGTGGCGAGTTCTTGGCTCACTACAGCCTCAACTTCCCAGGCTCAAGTGATCCTCCCACTTCAGCCTCCCAAGTAGCTGGAATTACAGGCATGCTCCACCATGCCTGGCTAATTTTTTGTATTTTTTTTGCAGAGACCGTGTTTGCCATGTTGCCCAAGCTGGTCTTGAACTCCTGGGCTCAAGTGATCCTCCCACCTTAGCTTCCCCACATGCTAGAATTATAGGTGTGAGCCACCTCGCCCTGCCATTTCTGGGCAAACTAATAAGCTACTTGGTCATAGCTGACCTAGAGTCAGACACCTTCATATAAGAGCCTCAGACTTGGGACTTACTTGCATGGCTTCCAAGCCTGCAAATCTATACCCTTCTTTTTTGAGCCGTTCTTAGTGCTCTATTAATCTTTTTTGTTTCTCCCCGAAGGGCCATGCCTTACCTGTTGATTCTAAACTTTGAAGAGATATTTAAAATAATATATCAAATAATATATTTTATTTTCTCTTTCTTTCTTTCTTTTTTTTTTTTTTGAGACGGAGTCTCGCTCTGTCGCCCAGGCTGGAGTGCAGTGACCCGAGTAGCTGGGACTACAGGTGCCTGCCACCTCGCCCGGCTAGTTTTTCTGTATTTTTTAGTAGAGACGGGTTTCACTGTGTTAGCCAGGATGTTCTCGATCTCCTGACCTCATGATCCGCCCATCTCGGCCTCCCAAAGTGCTGGGATTACAGGCTTGAGCCACCGTGCCTGGCCATTTACTTTCTCTTTCTTTGTTTTTTTGTTGAGACGGGGTCTTGCTGTGTTGCCTAGGCTAGCCTTGAGCTCCTGGACTCAAGAAGTCCTCCAGTCAGCTGCCTGAGCAGCTAGGACCACAGGCACACACCACTGCACCCAACGTAGAATATATTTTAGCTTATTTTCTTATTAAAAGCAAGCAAAACTTCTTTGTTTTCTTATGCATTCATCACCTCCAATTGGTGTCCTTTGACTTGTAGTTCTAACTGTACCTGCTGGTCAGGTTGCAGAGGAGACTGTAATTAAAGAGGAAGAAGAAGAGAAGTTGCCACTAACAAAGAAACCAAGGATAGGAGAGATGACAAACAGTGTGGAGGAAAGCAAGGTAATGTTTTTAGGAGTGATGAAAAGAATTTAAAGCCAAATTATTAAGGCCTGAACCCTTCTTCATCTTTTTTTTTTTTTCCTTTTTG